CTTGCAGAAAGTGTTATAATATTCACTGTATAAAAGTGCAGAACATATTCGATAACCTGAAGATAGCACTGAAATTATTAACAACTACTCACGCGTGTTTTACATTTCTTATGAAACTGCTCATTACACTAAGAACCTCCGAGTGATGCTGTTTTCATAAGATTCCTAAATTATACAGTCAACTCTACGGAGAAGTACAGATTGTCTGATGCTTATTTCAAAGCCCGACTGGCAATGTTACATAAATTTATCATTCATTATAGTAAAATATGAGTGGTAAAAGTCTAAATATTCCACTAGTTGAACTAAGATAATCAAAAATCCAAGTGAGATAAATGCCAATATTTACACATTTGCAAACTTACATTTCTTTCGTTCTATGTTCCTAAAATAATCTGATTGCTCGATAAAACTAGGCGGCTACTAAAAGTCCTGGGCAACTAAATACCTCAAGTATTCCCTCAATTTAAAAGCGAAATAAGACCAAGTTTCCGTTAGCAATAAATCAGTGTATGGGGAAAACGAACTATGCATAAGGCAGACAGTTCAACTCCTCAGCTTTCACTACACTTAGATGCTTCAGTGTTAAAATATTAGGGTTTAATCTCAAGGTTCCAGTGATACACAACCCAACATTAATTAATCACACTATTCGACAACTGTTGGCATAATAGACCCTTGTGTGGTTACGGACAAATCCAGTTGGCGAGTTCCACACGGGACAAAACGTGGGTCCTAGATTCCACTGTCAGCGTTTTTCCATTTTTGCTACTAGAACATAACTTGACTGAAAAATCTTGAAAAGCAATAGTCATAACTTTGAACTATTTCCAAATATCTCTCGTATTTACTACACCAAAATGTATTTTGGTATCATCACTAATGATAATACTTATTAACAAATATTTTAAACAGTCTCATTAAGGAAGATGGTTTTCCATTTTATGGTGAGTAAATGAACGAAAGGGAAATAAACTAAATCTATAAAAAATGTTCTCCAATCGTAACTGGTGTTAGCTTTTAAAGACACTGTACTTTTAATGATGATACTATCTGCAAAAAAATCGTTACCTTAAAAACAGTTCAAGGTCATACCTTTTTTTCTTTTATCTGTAGATTTTTCTATTTCCTCTTGATTTTCTTGACTAACAATAAAATATTCAATATACATTGTTCATGATGACCACGGCTGCATGCAACTATTGTTTCCTGTTTCACATTCACATCTGCACATAAGTTTTACAACATATAAATCTGCATATATGTGGATTAGATTTAAACCTAGGTAGTACCTCAGTAAGCTAACGAAAATAGAAGCATATAGTAAAGTGGTTGTTATATAACTCATTAAGAAAAGCCACAATTCAAAATTATTGGCTGTGAATCTTATATATGCTACTGAAAATAATGGATTCACCTGACTTCCACGCGTCCTTGTTTACAAAATGACATATATCTGCATTGATCGGTTACTGAAGAGTGATCGATGTCCTTTTATTTTGTCTTGAAAGTTCACTGAATTCCATTGAGTCCCCTTGTTTGGTACACAGTAGGCAAAACTAACACTTTAATTAGGACTGGGTCAAATTTAGGACTAGATATCACGAATGCTCTTCATTATTGAATCAATATATCTAAACCGATCGTATAAAAATTATTCGTACACTAACTGGCTTATCGATCCAACCACTGACCACATCACTGGATCCTGTGAATTTAAATTTCTGAGAGAGTATCAGTTTCTTTGGAGTTGGCTAAACATCTTCCAAACGAGAAGCAAAAACCCTGAAATCGGAGTCTAAGACGTTTTGCCTGCCTCGTTTAACCTCCTATAAAATGCTAACAAAAGTTTTCTCATCTTTTATCTGAAGAAGAAGTTCAAACATGATGGAAACAGTCTACTTAAAGAAGTCGGATTAAACAATCTTCAAAGTTCTAACCAATTCTAAAATTCATCTGAAAACAAAACAATCTGTTAATGAACTATTTATACTGGGAAACATTCACTGAGTCCAGAGTAAACTTTTCACCTTTTTCACTACATTCTGGAGGCTGCATGCAAGTAACTAGGTGAGACTGAAACTTTTGAAAATTTAAGTTCTAGTACACTATTAATTAATGATTATTCAATAATAAACAGTTTTTATTCACAACTTCTTTACATTCACCATATTCTTTTGAATTAAACTTGAAATGCAAATGACCAATACTTAGGGTAAAGTTGTTAAGAGTATGATAGAGTTTGATTTGCAACGAAAGTAAACACTAACATTTTAAACCTAGAAAATCATTTAAGCGCATAAACGTCAAGACCGGTGGTGCACACTAAAACCACATACTACTGTGTGATTTACTGATTGACTATATTCTTCCAAAGCAAGTCACTTGATATTCCTCATAGGTGAGTAAGTTTACGAGGTTCTATGTTCATTGCAGCCATGTCTCATAACTGATTCAAAACGGTATCGAAACACAAAGCATTTGTGTAAGAAAAGTTGGTATAAGAACCAGCTGGTGATATATTTAATTTCTCTTGGTACATTAGCTTAATATTATTTTTCCTTAATTTATACTAAACAAAGTAGGTATGCTGCAGTTGATCACCAAAGACTAAGCGATGCAGATCTCCAGTTTTTAGCGTTTATTATTGATTGAAGTTCATTGGTTACCTTTTCGAAATGTGTCTTCACAGTGTCATGCACTTCTATATGTGACCACATTTCAAAAGCTTGTTTGATAGACCTCAATCAGTGCTAGGAACAAAGAACTACTCAGTAACATCAGTTACTCAATGAAGACGAGTTTGTGCAGATAATGTAGTCTTACACTTGATCACTAGTGGCCTGAACAGCTCAGTTACAAAGTCTCTGAGTGACAGAGGTTTGAGTCACCGAAGAAATACCAGTTTTCTTAAGTTTTCAGATATGCCTTACTCATGAGTGACAAAAAGTATGAAACCGAGGTCTAGAGATTCCTGTTAACTGACTTACTGTAACTAACATAACGAATGTCTCTAAAGCCTTTAGAATATTCAGTAAAAATAAGATCATAGTGTTGCATCATTTTGTTGGTTTTTTGAGCATCGCCTAGACTTTAGCTTACCGTCTTCACCAAAGCGGATTAACCATTAAAACAGTTTTGCCATAATGATGAATTGTTTACAATTCTATTGCATCACTATGTCTTCATATTCTATTTGTATATATTTGATTGCACTTTAACCGATATTCACTCAATTATCTGTACTATGTATTACGACATATGATTTTTCTTTTTTCCATGTGCTTCATTTGATCATTTCTGACCGCTCTTAACTACATAATTTAATTTTCAGTTAAATATAAGTACATCATATTTTCCACTTTTAACTGTTAGAGTTGTATTGAGTTTGTAACACAGTTTGCTGTCAAAGTTATATTTGAACTATTACTTTTGATCTGTAACTGAAGTGTGTTATTGGTTTATTTCATAATGGTTCCTTGTATATTTTAAGTTGTTTGAAGATAGGAAGAACATACGAAATCTAAAAGTAAACTATCTAAATTCTCTTCTCATGCTTCTTGCCTTAATAACACTAGTTATGTGAAAACGTTGCATAAACTTTAAACACAATTATTGTTCTACAACCTACTGCATGCCAAAACACGTGCCTTTATAATGCAGACAGATATAATTTCTCAAGAAGTGAATGTACACTCTCTTTGCTTGACCAGAAATGCCTATGTTTTAAGTTCACTTAGCATGAAGTTTAAGCATCAAAATTCTTGTTATTTGAATGAATAGCAACCGATGAATTGTTATGTCTCGTGAAGGTTTTGATACTGAACGCATTTATCTATTTAAATTCAGTACATGAATATTATTGTTAACTTATGTAAATGGTAACATGTGAAGTAATTTCCGTTGTTAAAATTAGATTGTTAGCTGATATATATTGAACAATTAGTGGAAATTATTTAGCTCTGCAAGGCTATTTAGCCTGTTAAATAACTTCAGTTCATGGTTACTTCAGAGATTATAATAAATACACCCTTATAGAGCACATGTTACCTTTGAACAGCTGGTTTTGTGATATAACGTAAAGTATAGATGTTTCAAAGTTTCTTTTTTTAAAGTCACAAATCACATAATGATGCTTTGTTAATTCAACTGTGAGTTAGCTACTGATAGACAACGTGAACTACTCAAACTTAGTAAGTTTATGAGTTCACATAGGTCTCAGAACTGATTCTTCGGTAGTGAATTCAGAATGAAAATTTATTTAAATAAATGCATCAAAAGATATAGTCCTATTGTGTTTTTTTACGTCAACAATAACATTAGTCACTATTTTCCCAAGATGCAATACTGATCCAAATAGACAAGAATAATCTGCTTGCAAAATTATAATTGTATAGTTGTACATAAAAATGTTTACACATCAAAATCTGTAGTACCTCTTGCACAAATCGGTTATCACACTCATAATGAGTAGACAAAAAATGATTAATACGTGCTCTGTAATATGCATACATGAACACACAACATGACAGTGTTAGATGTAACAAATTAACAAATAGGATAATTGACTGAAAAAAACTCAAATGTGTATAATCTAAAATAAGATAAATCTACAAAAAGGTGATAAAGATGCACGCTTGTTTTCCAACTTCATTTTATTTACATGAATAGAAGCAAAGCATGGGATCTGGATGGTCGGTTATAATAAACTAACCAAAATTGGAACTAAAGGAAAATCATAAACAGAGAAAGAGAGAAACAGTAGGCGCTCAAAGGAAACAAAGAAATCAAGACAGTTCGCTTCAAAATTTTATCAGAGTTCAAGAGAAAAAAGCTTATGGAATACAAAGATAAATATTTTACCAGTCATTAATTTTGATGATAAAAAAATAATATCAACGGCAATAAATCACTTTTTAGGTAAAAATATTCAGTTCTTGTAGTGAATAGCCGCTGAGAAAAGATTGATTCATGTGCAAGTTGGCTAACTTATATATCCTTTAAAGTTGACTGACATTGTAGTGTGTTACAAAATAATCATGGAAATAGGACAGAATAGCTAATGGTTGACCAATAATCAATGCAAGCCATACAGCTAAATTTCCGGCTTGACCACCCTTTGCAAACAGATGCGAGACTGCGTAAGCATATGGTACCTGACCAAGCATACCGAGGAAGGCCCAGAATCTTGGCATTTTCAGTGGAACTGATACAAGTAACTCATGAAAAAATGCACTGATCAAGAAGACAACCAAACTTGCTTGAAAACGACTAAGACCCATCTTTAGCAGAGGGATGTATATGTGTCTATAGTTTGAAATGAAGACAACAAAATTTATGGGTTAAAAGTGTACTATGTTATACACTGAAACAATTGCATATTTAAAAGGTTATTACCATATGTGAACGATACAGAATGGTGTAGTTCCAACAAAGGGAATTGTTTTCAGGCATACTGCTTCAAATTATCTAAATCAAGTTAAAATATACTGAATTGTGCGAGCAGTGACAGCCAAGATTTCATAATTAAAAAGATACTGATCATTTGAACAAGGCATCTACTTCGATGCAGGCTGTTAATTCAAAATTCCATTCTATAGAAAACTATTCCATGGCTTTTCATACAAATTGCGATGAACACAAATTCTGAGAGGATTAAGAAGAGATAAGATGGTCAGGCTATCAATGAAAGGCTATCGGACACCGTAAGTTGATGACTTCTGGATGACGGAGTGTTAGCAGTCGGTTTACAGAAGTATTTAGCTTAGATATTTCTGATGCTGTCTGCATGTCCTATCTAACAAAGACTTCTGTGACGTCAAATGGCTACAATTGCCAAAAGTATTTATGTTAAACTCAATGATGAACCGCAACTGATAATTACAAAATTAGTGATACATCAAAAACTGTTAAAAAATCAAAAGATGAAAACATTATAAGTATCTTGCTTTTCCCAAGTGAAAGACATCCAAAAAGCTTGAGAAAGTATAGTCCATTATAATCATAGTGATCAAAGCGACCGTTAAAGTTGAAGACAGTAGGGTTTTTTATAGAATCAATCAGATGGATTCAACAAGATGGGAATCAGACGTAATAAATTAGCAGCAATCAAAGCATCTACATCCCAGATGTAATATTTGTGTACTCAGAATGATGAATGGTGATAGATGTTGAAAATTCTGTAGTTTTACTGAGGGTGGCCAGACTAGAGCAACTTAAGTGAGCTTGTGATATATTAAAGTTAGATGATGAAAAGATTTTCACGATTTGTCATAAGTATTTGAACATTCCATATTAGATTTGCTTATCTGATATGTAGCGCTCAGTGATACAGTATTATTTACTTAATGAGGTTTCGAGTGTAAATTATTGCTCATAATCATATCAATGTAATCACACTCCTTACATTAATATGATTGATTGTTACGAAGGCTGAAAAGGATCGTTATACTGTGAATATTTTCGAAGTCAAAGTAAGTTAGAGAGAAACAATAGGTAGCTGGATTAGAAAGCAAAGGTACATTGAAGTTAATAGGCTTCTGAAGTTTAATTTCAAGCTGAATAATATCCATCAAGTTATGCAACCGATTTCTTTACTTCAGTGAAGAGACTGTGATTTTTAGAGGAGTTAGTCAAAAAAAATGAGCACGCCTTAATTATTGATAGAATTCTGTCATAAATTGAGCATTCCACCAACTCCAAGCACCATTCATAAGTATGTAAGGTAGTTTTTTAGTCAACGTAGTGCAGGTAGAATTTAAAATTTCTTCAAAAAATGAGGACAGTATTCATTTAAAGTTGCTTTCACTCCAAAAATGCTGGTTAATCGATGGTATTCGAGAATAACTTCCATATTATCTAATGTTCGTTGGGTAATAAAAATTACAAGTTTTCTCAGATTTCAATCTGAGACCTTAAGGAATTCTGATTAGTATAATAATCAGTAAAGCATTTGTTTTGAAACCGACAGTTTTAATATTATTATTCCACTTGACTTTAATGAGAAATTCTAAGTCATATGAAGTTTATTGAGCGTGATATCGATGGAAAAACAAAAACAAATCTCTCTTTCATGAAATTGATTACTGATGAGGTCAGTGAAAAATCATTTTAAAATAAAATTCACAAATAAAAATATAGCTGTATAATGATGAAACTGGAAAGATTATAAAGTTGCTCGTGTCCAGATACAAGGTAGAATCTATCGGTTGAAACGTTTTAGCAAAAAGCAAAAACAGATTGCTAAGTTCAGTGAGTCGTTTTGTTTAGATTATGCAGCACTTCAAGCAGATACATATTTGGCTACTGCTTTATTCTTCAGTGTTTTTCTCCCATTTGGAATGCATTGTTTAAGGCATTAGATCTCATATAAAAGTTTGCAGTTGTCTAGGTGTATGTGTTGTAGCTTGTGCTTGATTTATCAAAGTTAAGAAGTTCCATATCCCAGCAAATCAATATGGGTTCCTTTTAATCTTGTATTTTTTGGATATTAAGTTGCAGAAAGACACTTAAAATGTTTTGAAAATTCTCAAAACTTTTAAAATGGTCTATACTTTAGATAGCGTATCGAATATCTGTGTATAGGGAATTCAAACATTAGATGGTAGGGGAAATATTGCCATTTAGTTTCTCTAAACATGATATCTGAACTGATGGAATGAAATTTTGAGGTAAGACCTCAATCTCAAGGGGCAGTAAAACTATGACAATTTTCTTAGATTTTAAGTCATATTATGATAATGTTTTCTGCTTAAAATAATCTTACTTTTTAACATCTTTTAAAATGTATGCACTTAATCTTTCTTATAGTATACTAGTTTTTACTGTCGATTGAGGCATTATTTATTCATAATAACGGGGAGTAAATTGATCATAAAAGAAAGCTGAATTGTGGTGTAGCTCAACAGGTTTTAACAACTTACCGTCTAGCAAAGCGGTGTACAGGGATATTCCATTTTGACCAGAATTCAGATATGGATTCTGCATTCCTAGTGATAAGAAAAGACTATTGAATTGAAAGGAATGAAGTATAAACACTAGTAGTAAATTTAATCCAAGATTTTATTTTGATAAAAAGTCAAGAAAAAAATACAGAGTCGGTTGTGTTGATAATGACAGTCTAGTGCGAGGTACAGATAAACTTAACAAGTTCTACCCATGAATTTAATACAACTAAGAAGTAATTGAACAGGCATATACCCGGCTAAAATAGCCATTTCTGACTGATTGGGTCAAATTTTCAAACCTACTCCAATTAGTTTGGTCTTGGTAGCTGCAGATACAAACTAGCTGCCACAAATTAGGTGAGGACGGATAACTGAGTAGTTGAATCTATGGTATAACTACTTGGTTACAAACTTTCACCGTGGAAAACTAAAGTTTATGACTGTTTCTCAGTTGCACTACTGTTTAAATTCACCCCGAATCTAATTAATTATACCCAGTTGACTAGAAACAACGATTCCTTGTTTTGTTATATTTCTCAAGTCGGTGCCTCAGGCCACATAAACACTAACTTATAAAAACCTATTGCTAAAGGTAATTATAGTCTTCAGTGTTAAATCTCTCAGTGATACAATTATTATTATTTGTTGGTTTTGTTTGATGGAAATTAATCCCTACCACGGAGTCTTCTGGCAAACCATATCTTATCCTTGTGTGCAGCACCAGATACCACTAACAGTTACATAGAGTTAAAAATAACCGAACTTGAGACTATACTCTGCTACTAGGTTCATATTATAAACTCACATCATTTTTAATTTACTATTTAGGTTGGCATTAGTGTGGTGATAATCATCATCAGTGCATATTTTACCATTTAATTAACTAGTGATCACGTGATATTACCGATATAACTTCAATCGAACAAGAAAAATGTACGATGTTTACCACATAAGTTAGATATTTTACAAATAACCAGGAATTTATTACTGATATCTGAAACATTTTTATAAATCACGGCGATATACTGGTGCAAAACATATTTTAACAAAGATTTCAAAGGGAAAACAGCCTGCTTACTAGTCCTTTCCTAAGTATCTGAATAAAAATCTTTAATTTCGTAAATATCAGGACCAAAATGTAACCTGAAAGATTTATGTAAATTGAGCACTACTTAAAACATTTACGGTGTAAATACATATGAATTCAGTGATATATATATATATATATATATATATATATATATATATATATATATATATATATACAAACCGAGCTACTCAGTCTCACTGTAGGTATGGTACTGAAGTACGCGTATACATCTAACCACTTATAGACATGCAAACAAATAAAAAGAGCATAATACCAAGTTTAATATCATAGTGTGATAAATGAAATGCTTTCTTTTCATATCTACCTTGAAAAGTAGTCTGCTTCACCCTCCTTACTACCAGAATATTGGGTAACTTATACAGACTTGATACTCTGGAGAAGGGATTTCAGTAAAGTAATGTAATATTAGGAAGTTACCGTTCAACACTTTTTTATCAGTATGTGTATGTCTTTAACATAGATAAATATGAAGTCATAATACTACGCCGCAGCAGCAAATGTCTTCTAAACGGTTGTTAAGACATGGTAGTTCAGCCTCGTTTGTAAGCGTAACGCAGTGGTCAATCTATGACAGTATGTGTGAATCCCTAATGCTGAACTAAATATCCATTTGTGTGTTCCTCAGATTACTTTGAATGAACTAGTTTGTATTCAAGACTGCTAGTGTAGCGGAGTGACCGTAGGGGACTGAAGAGTGGCTAGTTACATCGCCTCACAAAGCCGATGCAGCTAATCCAAGAAGTAAACTTAACCAGTATTCGGAAATTCAGAGTCCTGTTCTCCGTGGTATAGTATTTTCGTTATGTTTTATTGAAGAAGGTGCACTCCGTGATTGAAAACTAGAAAAATCCTTCTGTGCGCTATCCAGTCGACTTAAATTTTAAGAACTGAAAATAAAGTGATGCATGTTGATGGATAAATTTAATTTCCACCTGATCGTACACTGACTAGAGTTCTATACATCTGAGCGGGAGAAAATGAAGAATATACCTACAGGTGGCAACAATTCTCCATACGATGAAAACTAGTGAGGTAACCTATATTCAAAGATCAAGAAAAGAAACAGCAACAACCAGTAGATTCCGGTAACCTTATCTGTAATGATTGTTGCACTGAGACTAATTTCAGCTGTGCGAAATCTGCTCAATGTGGATATACTAAGAGTTGACAAGTTCATCGCTAACAGTGATCAGTGGAGAAAGTGAGAAAGATGGAGAAGGTGTTGACCTCAGCGAAATTTGACAATTATCAGAATTTCTTCGAAAAAGTAACAAATTGATAGTGGTTAGTGAGATCATCACCGTAAAGGATGGATCCCTGATAACCTCGCAGGACAGGCGACTAGAATACTGGGTGGAACACGTTGCAGCACAGTTTAACTGGCCTACAGGCACTCTCCGGCTGCATAACATCCAGTCGGAACGTGAACGGGATGCAGATGTCAGTCTGTGAACTCACACTGAAGTTGTGAGGATTGGTTCAAACCTGAAAGAATGCAAAGCATCATGATATGCCAGCTCGCCAGAAGAGATTTCCAGAGAAGGAGGTCAGAAACTATGGAAGACACTTATGGCGGCACCACTTGGTGTATAGCAATCAGGGGTAGTCGAATCACACTGGTCTAGTCTACTTCGCTAACCATTCAAATTCACGAAGAAGGAACGAAGTCTTGTTGTGACAATCACAGGAGAATCAGCTTGACTGAGTTTTTGGCCAAGATCTTCGAATTCGTAGCCATACAACATCAGAATAGATGTCGTGGATAACAAACTAAAAAGATGCAGGCAGCTCCCATGCCTCGACGAGGCTGCATCTATCACATACTCTCCCATCGACACTTCTTGACCCAGAGATGAGCTTCGACTCAGTCCACCAAGAGTTGTTGTGACATTGTCTGAATGTTGATGGGGTATCAGGTAGGTGTTTCATGCTGATCAAAGTTGTCTACTCGAACTCACATTGGTGTGTGATCGCTTGTGGCTTTTGGCTTGCCATTTAAGTGATGACAACCAGTGGTGTCCATCACAAGAATGGTCACTCTTACCAATCGTGTTCAACTTTTTTCAGACGTGCTGATGGATAATGCTAGTTAACTCTGAACGAACTTGAATTGACCCACTCCCAGGTTGGCATCTGAACGATTTGTTGCACACAGACGACATAGTCTCATGAGATGAATATATTGGTTCAATGTGGAGTTTTCTGATCGTCTTGAACAGGAATTCGAGTATGTTGGGAGTGCGTTTTGCTCCAGTCAAATGTAAAATAACACTTCGAGGCTAATTTTTACCAGGTTGTAGTTTAAATCTGAGAATGAGAAAATGGCATGGGGTGATAACTTCACTTGCTTGGTGAGTTGCATCAGTCTGTGTTGGTTGATGGATGACTAAATTTCTGCTCAACCTTAAAAGGCTTGTTTTAGTAACGATATTTGCCTTTTTAAAAATCACTATAAAACATCCCACGAGGTACTGTGTAGTTTGACAGCACGTGATTTCATTTCATCATATGATCCATTTTAATCTCTATTTGCACGATAAACTACACGCATACACACACATGCTCCCAAACCCGAAGTTTTAAAGAACATTTTCTACCGCATTCTTTATCACCTTCCTATTATTTTTTGATAGTTGACGGCATAGTTATGATCACTAAATTAATATCATGGTATTTGTTTTATTTGTATACGATGCAGCTTTTTTGGTACAGTGACTGAGAGTATTACAACATTTTTGATTGTTTTGAGTGGTCTACAGGTGATGACTTGCACCTTATTTTTGTTTTGGTTAGTCAGCACCATGTAATCGTAAGGTGCTCTCGATAGAATCATTTATTTTTTCTAAACTACAGAATCAACTGTCCAAAATGTTGATCCTATCAAACGACCCACTATTCGTTGTACACTTTTCTTTATCAACAAGTAAACAACTGCCTAACTGCATTTAACTGATTGTAGTTAAAGTCTATTGGAAATTTTATCGGTACATGTTCTAAAGTGATTATTACTTTGAAATTTCATTAATATCTTCTGTAAGGTTAATTGTCGTTGCATCCATTAGGCTTAAAATCATTTTACTTCTTACCATCACCATACACTGAAGTGAGTGATAAAACCTAGCAGTACAGTACACATCCTGCCCCCTTTCAGGAAGTGTAGATTAATCATCAGGACTTACCTACACCACTCTGTAAATTTAGGTCTTTTTCTCCAGGATAAGTGCGAATACGTTCTCTGTTCGATTACAGAAAAGTAAAGTTCCCCTTGGAGTGTCAATTAGTGTCAATCACCACTCCGTTGAGACATAAAAATGGAAACCAAGTACATTCACTTTCATGAGTCACGTGAATTCCAAATAGTAAGTATATTATTAACCTTATTTGATGCTACTGAATTACTTTGAAGCCTTTGAGTATGAAATCATAATGGTAACACGCTTGGTTACGGAACTTGAAGTATGAAGCTATTATATACGTATTTCTGATTTCTGGATATCAGTCTTTTCTATGTTTCTTTCGAAATCATTTGTCAACAACAATAAATCTCATCAAAGGGAGTAATTTTTAGTGCCACAGGTAACCTCTATCGCTCCCTCACTTATTGTTGTCCATTATACGGTAGATGAACAAAGAAAAGAGGAACCGAACACAACCTATAAAACACTACACTGGACAAAGAAGTGGAGAAAAGTGTATGCAAAGACAAAAGACACTTCTACGACATACTGGTAAGTGAAGCAGAACGGGCTGCAGGTAGGAGAGACCTGACAGCATTATATCAAATAACCAAATACTATCTAGGGAGAGATCAACGCAGATGAAACCACTGAAAGGTACTGAAGGAAACTTAGTTACCACCAAAGAGGAGAAACAAAGGAAACAATGGGTTGATCACTTCAGTAAACTCTTGAATCGACCACCACCAACACCACCCGCAACTCATTCAGAAGTACCACCAACAGTCCAACCACAGAACTACCAGTGAACACAAGCAGTTCGACAAAAGCCGAAATGAAGTCCTGAATGCCATAAATTTACTGAAATCCGGGAAAGTAGCAGGACCAAGTGGAATTCATCCAGAAGCACTGAAAACAGATGCACAAACATCAGCGGTCATGCTCATACTACTATTACAAAAGCCTTGCAAGAAAGGAGGGAAAGGTATCTACTGATTGAGTGAAAGAAGGGCTAACTTGTCAAACTTTCAAAGAACGGCAACCTAAGTCTTTGCAAGAACTAGTGCAGAATCATGCTACTGTCCACCCGAAGTAAGCAAAATATTGAGCCGCATCATCCTGGAGAGGCTAAAAGATGCGCTGAATTCAAAATTACAGCTGGAACAGGCGGGCTTCAGGAAGAACAAATCATGTGCGGATCAGATTGTAACGCTACACATCATCATAGAACACAGTATATTAAGGCAGTCAACTCAACTTCATCGATTTTGAAAAGGCCTTCGACAGAGTCAACCGAGAAGTTATTTGGCAGGCAGCTGCTACAACACTACGGTTTTAGTGCCACAAACCTTTACCAACTTCACTGAACAACTATATGAAGACGCCACATGCCATGTGATCCACAATGGAAAGCTAAATGACGCCTTTGAAGTGAAAACAGGAATAAGACAAGGCTGTGTCTACTATCATAGACGGTCTTCCTGATTGTGGTTGGCTGGACTGGATCATGCAACAAATCGTGAGGAGCGAGAAGATGGGCAGACACTGGCTGAACCGATGAAAAGACCCTAGCAGAAGATTTGGATTTCGCAAACGATGATGATTTATGTCTAATGTCTTGTGGCGAAAACTAACAAGTTGACAGAAGAGGCGAGGCAGCGAAGGAAGACGGGACCTCCTTCAGATGAACGTAGAGAAGAAGGAGGTGATGAAGATACCCAACCAACAACAACAACAAGCACCAATTACCATCAAGGGGAAAAACCTAAAGGAAGTTGTCTCTTTCACCTACCTTCCCAGGCAGCATCGTTTCAACTACAGGTGGCATAAATGTGGACGTCAAAGTCAGGATGGGAAAGACAGCAAGACAGGCCTTCCTTCACTAATCTGAGATCAGTGTGGAGATCTACTGCACTCAGTAAGTTCCAGGTTTTCAACACAAACACACACGACGAGTTGGCCGTCCCAGCTGGGGGTGACATTGAGGAGATGGTATGAGGAAGAAATGAAAGCTTGTGGGCAGTGGTGGAGCGAGGTTCAAAAAACTGCAGAGAGAGGTGCTACTGAAGCCCTATGTTCCATTAGGAACCCAGGGGACATATAATAATAATAATACACGGTAGATGTGTGATAAACTGAAGGATGGTAATACCTACAGCAATAAAGCACCAATCTTTATGTTGAAATTTTATTGAATATGTTTTTGAACTCTGTTTACTTTCCTTACATAGATGCTACTTGTTTTAAGTACTTCGTTTTTAGCAAGACAGTTGTATCTGTCAGTTGCGGTCATCAATTATTCATTAAAAATTTAAAAGTGAAAAATATTTGTAAGTGATTGGTACAGCTATTTTTACTGTGCCGTTAACATTATCCCTTGCCCACCGCTACAAACATCGTAATTATTTAAAGTAATCGTGAATATGTTGAAAGAAAATTGTAAAACAACATGTATCTTCATTAGAAGATAGTTATTCGGCTTGAATCTCGAAAAAAGTAAAAATGATACATGATGCTGGCATGAACAGTAAATTGTTCCATCGGTGAAATCGCATACTAGCATACAGTTAATAACACGTGAACACGTGAAGACTGCTTCAATTTGGTTTGAAGGTTAAGTAAGATAAAGCTGAATGAAACAACTTAATTTTTTGCAACGATTTAGTTACTTCTACATAATATCTTCAACTAACAGAACAATACAAAAACAGATTTAAAGGAAGTGAAATTCGTTTGCCGAGAAGGTAGTGATTAAAGCAGATTAAGCCGGTTATAACTAGAAAGTATTTCTGTATTTGGAATTGAAAGAAACTGGAAAATTCAGTAGCTTTTTTGACCTCATAGCCTTCATTGTAGCATCTTATGAACCGCGTTCAGGATCGGAATAAAGACTCCGAATGGCTGACGATTGATATTGGGGGTCAGGATGTAAAGATGCCTATTTTCTATATTTAGAAGATTTGGTGTATAAATCAATATTCTAGAGGAGCTATGTTCTGTGAACTCTACGAAGAACAAATGGCAAACTTCAGAAAGAAGTGATTTACTAGAATTTTTCCCCAGTGGACTTATTACCTATTGCTGAAGTGTTGGATGAGACTGATAACTTCTGTCACAAACTTATGATTGTTTTCACACCAGATGCGACTGATTATCTTGCTGAAATGAACTCTTACCTTGTTGTTATTTATTTTATTTCCCACTGACTTATTGACATCGATCCAAAATATCAGCTGATGAAAAATAGGTGAGACAATAAGAAGTTCAAAGTTCACATTAACAGGTTAATCAGTTGCAGTAAGTGTCCAGATAATTGCGAAACAATGATAGAGGCAGTCAGCCTTGTCCAACATATGTTTCTGAACTGATCAGGATTGACTTAGTCACATGGGACCCCTTAGTTGACGTAGAATAGACAGATTACACCGTCGTGTTAGAGAAAGAAGCGGAGAAGATACAGAGTCCTCTGGACACCTTAACTGATAGTTTGAGAATGTTTGAGATGTGTATTAGCCCACCGGATTGCAACTTATTGCACCATGACTGGTCTGCATTGGCGCCTTTTTTAACATAAGGCAATGAAATGGTTTGGTGCTTTGACCACTTGACTTGATGAAGTTTTAAATCTTCAATAATTCAGATGGCTGAGACATATGTTGTGCATAAGTCTCTGTTAATCTGACCTATGTAGAGAAATGTAGGATAGACGGTCGGGGTCCACATGAAGACCAAAATTGATGGTTAGCGACCTGATGTGACATGACTCAGAACAGATCTCAGTGGCACAGATACATCCATTCAGTATCGTCAACTTGATCGTCATTCCAAATGTCACCAATAATAGCAATGAAATTTTCACATAGACTGTGGTCAGAGAATACGACATCAGTAAAGTGACCTATCTAATCTATAAATATTCTTTACCATCGCATATCGATATCATTTCATCATAGTTTTCAATGAACATTTGTCATCAGACGTGATTAAATTAGCCAATATGGTTTCAGGTTTTCAGTTGAAATCTCCTTTCTCAGGGTCTCATAAGCCGCCGGAAGTGGACTTTCATTCGGTACTACGCATCGGTTGGCTGTTGAATATTACCCTTATTTTCTGTGATTTAAATCTTAATAATACTTATGCTTATAACTGCGGAATACATTAGAAATACAGTTTTAACTCACCACCAATCACTGTAAAAAAATCTGTCTCCGAAATATAAAATCTCTCCAATCACATTCAGCAATGAATGAAATACCAGGTAGAAAAACATTAACCAAATTAAATGATTCGGTATGGCCAGCTTTAAACAACGTTCAACAATTAGGCTGAATCTAGCCTCAGCTAGTGGCGTGAAGCTATTCGATAACGTGGGCAAAATCCATTGTTGAATCATACAAAGTATGAGTTGTGGAATGAATATCTATTTGAAGCAAAAAGAAATGTATTCAGAAGTGCAGTCAATGAAAGAAACGAAGTGATTTAACTAACAACCACGTCATTATTGTCATCCGTACAATCGTGAACATAGTAGGTGATGGTTATGCATTTGTAACATTTCGCGTCATGTTAAGTCGACAAGTCTGCCAAATCTTTATGCCGACGTGTTTCATCCTTGTTTAGTAAGCAATGAATAGACAGTCTAAAAGGAAATGTAAGGGCTGAGTTGAAGTGAAGTGAAACCCCCTAACTATAGTGGAATATGTAATGCTGCTTGTCATCAAAATCTCCATGATCAGCTAAAATTCCCTAATCCAGCATTTTGTATTGACTAGAGTAAATAACTACAGTTTTATATAATTATTGGAAAGTGTTAATTATGACCAATAACCATTCCACGCAACACTCAGAATCAAAAGTTAGTTGATGTCTGTTCAATATTCCTAATTCTAAAACAGACAATCTGTTTACAGATTACTAAGTCTTTGGTAAGAATGACGGAATTAGGTAAACTGAATTTCTTAGCTCTTAACCCTGATTTTTTTTTGAAATCGAAATATTCACATAACACTGCATGATTTATTAGGCACCAGAAATGGTATGGAGGTTACCAGCATGAAATCCTTAAAAACACACTACTGATTGGCATTGGTAATCATAGATGAGTCTTACCAGTCAGCAGTGCTTGTATAACGGATCAAAGTGGTCCAAACACTTGAATGCACATTCGCTTATTTGGACTGTGGCTTGTGAATGGTGTATCTGAAGTGATTCAATTCAGAGACCAGAATCGTTCAAACCACAAGTTAGATTGTCCTTATTTTATTCGACGGTACACTTGGTTAGCATGTATAAGTTCACATTTTAACTATGCCTACTCCATCCTCCTTTTTTGTCTGTATCTCGCTGTGAACCACTTACCTCATGAATTACTAGTTTTTACTATTGGTGCTATTAACATTAATTCCAAGTTGGTATTCATCATAGACTAACAGCAGTTAGAGAACCATTGGTAACTTGAAATCATTAGACTGACTTTTCGTCCTAGTATGGAACTCCTTAGAGGTGCTCACTCATGATCCCATCAGAGATCGAACCCTGAAACTTTACGTTCTGTGGCCAGCACGTTACCACTGAACCAATGAGTCGGCATCCAGTGCTCAACATTTTTCAATTCTATCAGTTCACAATATAGTGCTATCTCTTACGAATACTGTCGTGATGGCCGCGGAACCCGAAGGTCTTGGGTTCGATCCCCAAAGGGGTCATAGGTGCGCACTCACGAGAAGTCTCATACTAGGATAAAGCGGCTGTCGAGCGCTCCCAAGTTCCCAGTCGTTCTTCAGCTTGTATTAGTTTATAGTGAATATAACTTCCTCTCATCATATCCATGTATTTAAATTATGACCAACGTTAATCTGGTGAACATAGCAATTGTTTCTTCTTCGAAATTCGCATTCGTCAGATTTGAGTTTCACTTAGGGGTGATAATGACTGTTTCAGTTCTACTTCTTTCACTGTTTATTCCTCAATATGATTCACGGATTTCTAAATGCATAACTAAGCGGAAAGTTAATTATGATGTAGTTGACTGTGAAAACATTTCTGTTTCTCCAGACTCCTTTTTGATGTAGTATATTTCTGTTCATTAACTGCCAACTTCATTTATGTGTCAACATTGACAAAAGACTGTTGTTTGTCTGCCAACTCAAAATTTATGTAGACAATTTACTGTTTGACCAACAGTTATTTTCTATATCAAACGACGTTATTTATAGTTTTACACCTGCGCATACAATAAACGTTCATTGAACAAATTAAGCTTTGGATTTGTAGAAAACACTTTTTAAGACAGACTTCTCAGTAAAAGCTTACTCTATTAGTTCTGTTCAAAAGATTGCATATCTGTACCAGATCTGCAAAGTGTAAAAGCAGAATTTCACTCAAAAACAAATCTTTTTGAATTCATGGAATGCTTTGGGAGTTTTAATATTTCACTAAAGACCAGTTTCTTCTCAAGGTGATATATATTTAACCATATAAGGCTGGGATAACACTGAGAAATTAATATGAAGGCTAGACTCAGATTTCTGTGCATGGAGTCAAGTCAGTGTATGGGAATATCGGAAATAAAATGAAGCCACTTCAGCTACCACTTTCATTCCGTTCAAACACAGAAGGAAAATTGGTCGGATGAAAATCTATAGATTAGGGTGGATTTTGAGTACTGTGATACAGCGTAACTCTTGATTATAAGGGCTACATAAACGCCTTACTGATGAGTGCCAACTAGCACCAAACTTATGTTCAGGGCTTCTTGCCGATCACCAAAAACCAACTAACATCCATTGAGGTGCAACGCGATAGTGAGCCTCCTAGCTTGGTGTCCAAATTTCAGGATGATCGATAGGATTCAGTCAGCACTCCAAACTAGAAAACATGAGATGATCAAACAATGTATTTAATATGGAATTATGGATTTATTCATCCAGAATCCCAGACAGTATTTCCAGTACCAACTGGAAAAAACTTTGAGCACAGATCTGAATTTCTGAGGACTTTCGAGATTTGGAGGGAGTGTTTCAACTGTTTCGAAAAGCTGGTGCATGTTATTACATACAACCTCTTTTCGTACAGATTTCATGATGTATTCAGAAGGCCTACCGGATGAGCAAAAAAAACAACGCTTTATATGGCTGTTTTCTACAAGTAGGATAGCTGTCTTCAAGACAGAAGCAGTACATCTGCCATCAACTGGCTAGCTTTTTTGATAATGAAGTCCTGTTAAAGTTCATTATCTAGTAAAAACTAAAAGATCACTGTTGGAGAACATAAATTCGGATCTTACAGAAAGCAGGAGGTCTATTGGTATTTTATGAATTTATCACGAGTAATTTCTTTGATAAAGGAGTGGTACTGAGACATCTCACAGAAAACTTAACATAAAATCCTGTAATAGAGTCAGATGCTGAGTGATTGCAATAAAATATGCATTCCCCCACATCGGATACATCAGTTCACTGTTTGCTACAAACTAACTGAAGCAATCATCATCAAAATGCGTATGCGTGTATATATATATATATATATATATATATATATATATATATATATATATATATGTATATGGGAAAATATAACTCACCAGTTCGAAAACACGTTTAAACAAAAATTGTTTCCTTATCGTCAGTGTACGTGGAAAATTTAATTCATAACATAGCGTTGGTGCGAACATAAAGTAGTACATATTTGTGAGTGTTAAATTATTCGGATAAGTAACGTACAAACTACGACTGAACTTCATGCATGTTTCATCGTGCACCAAGGTGTTGACCTCTAATTCCACTGGATCTGTATTTATACTACTGGTGTCTGTTATTTCACTAATACTGAATCTTGATTGTCTCTCTATAAGAAAAAAAAAAAAAGAAATGAAACAAAAGCTTGCAGTTGGACATGCACTAAGTAGACTTCAAACTGGGGCTCAGAATATCCTGCTATTTATTTCATAGTGCCAAAGTTTGTGATACAAAATTAAGAAGCGAATATTGACAACCTAGAAATAAATTACGTGATTAGCTAATAACTACTAATCATTTCCCATCCAACAAAATATCCATTCAAATGAAGACGAGAATTTGGTTACATATTTTTGAGATATAGAGGGAGCGCTAACTACTGTTGATCAAACACAATTTTTACCAACAAACTGTGCAACATTTTTATGCATATATATATATATATATATATATATATATATATATATGTTGTAATACTCTCAGTCACTGTACCAAAAAAAGCTGCATCGTATACAAATAAAACAAATACCATGATATTAATTTAGTGATCATAACTATGCCGTCAACTATCAAAAAATAATAGGAAGGTGATAAAGAATGCGGTAGAAAATGTTCTTTAAAACTTCGGGTTTGGGAGCATGTGTGTGTATGCGTGTAGTTTATCGTGCAAATAGAGATTAAAATGGATCATATGATGAAATGAAATCACGTGCTGTCAAACTACACAGTACCTCGTGGGATGTTTTATAGTGATTTTTAAAAAGGCAAATATCGTTACTAAAACAAGCCTTTTAAGGTTGAGCAGAAATTTAGTCATCCATCAACCAACACAGACTGATGCAACTCACCAAGCAAGTGAAGTTATCACCCCATGCCATTTTCTCATTCTCAGATTTAAACTACAACCTGGTAAAAATTAGCCTCGAAGTGTTATTTTACATTTGACTGGAGCAAAACGCACTCCCAACATACTCGAATTCCTGTTCAAGACGATCAGAAAACTCCACATTGAACCAATATATTCATCTCATGAGACTATGTCGTCTGTGTGCAACAAATCGTTCAGATGCCAACCTGGGAGTGGGTCAATTCAAGTTCGTTCAGAGTTAACTAGCATTATCCATCAGCACGTCTGAAAAAAAGTTGAACACGATTGGTAAGAGTGACCATTCTTGTGATGGACACCACTGGTTGTCATCACTTAAATGGCAAGCCAAAAGCCACAAGCGATCACACACCAATGTGAGTTCGAGTAGACAACTTTGATCAGCATGAAACACCTACCTGATACCCCATCAACATTCAGACAATGTCACAACAACTCTTGGTGGACTGAGTCGAAGCTCATCTCTGGGTCAAGAAGTGTCGATGGGAGAGTATGTGATAGATGCAGCCTCGTCGAGGCATGGGAGCTGCCTGCATCTTTTTAGTTTGTTATCCACGACATCTATTCTGATGTTGTATGGCTACGAATTCGAAGATCTTGGCCAAAAACTCAGTCAAGCTGATTCTCCTGTGATTGTCACAACAAGACTTCGTTCCTTCTTCGTGAATTTGAATGGTTAGCGAAGTAGACTAGACCAGTGTGATTCGACTACCCCTGATTGCTATACACCAAGTGGTGCCGCCATAAGTGTCTTCCATAGTTTCTGACCTCCTTCTCTGGAAATCTCTTCTGGCGAGCTGGCATATCATGATGCTTTGCATTCTTTCAGGTTTGAACCAATCCTCACAACTTCAGTGTGAGTTCACAGACTGACATCTGCATCCCGTTCACGTTCCGACTGGATGTTATGCAGCCGGAGAGTGCCTGTAGGCCAGTTAAACTGTGCTGCAACGTGTTCCACCCAGTATTCTAGTCGCCTGTCCTGCGAGGTTATCAGGGATCCATCCTTTACGGTGATGATCTCACTAACCACTATCAATTTGTTACTTTTTCGAAGAAATTCTGATAATTGTCAAATTTCGCTGAGGGTCAACACCTTCTCCATCTTTCTCACTTTCTCCACTGATCACTGTTAGCGATGAACTTGTCAACTCTTAGTATATTCACGTTTGAGGTGCCTTTTTTCCTCTGCATAAATGCACAACTAACGTCCTCAAGTTTCAACCTTGTGTACATATGTCACAGTGTTGTCTTTTTACTGTGGCTATTGGGGAGTAAGTATAAACGTCCGCATTTCAGCAGACGATCGGTTTTCGAGCAGGTTTTTGAAGAAAAACGGCAACCGTTCACCGATCGTCTTCAATTGTGTTTATAGGAATATCTTTTATCTCTGTTTACCGTTACTTGAATTTCAGCAGATGTCATGAGAGAAACTCTCTCCCTATCCTTGAAGTGAAGGCTTGCCTGAAACATGAAACAAGAACGAGTATATTGTTGTTTATATCTGTAGGTACAATATCATTTAGTATGTTGAAATTAAAACTTTCGTTAACTGTAGACTTGTTTCCACAGAGCTTATAAGGTGGTCAGATGCTTCAATCATTTCATTGTCTGTGTCACTCGTTTAAGTCGCAGCGTAATATGCAATGCTTTTGATACAATTCTAAGCAACATATTTTCCTCATAATAATAGCAACCTAACTTCAAGTCTAAACAAACACACTTTTAAATAGAGTACAGCCAAGCTATTCTTAGTAGTTGAAAATAGTTTAATGGATCAGTAGTTCATGTCAAGATATTATGGCATACTAGAAGTAGATTGTTTTCTTCTTTGTATAACTCATTTAACGCTTATATAACTACTACTTAGCCGTGGCTTATAGAGGGATCAAGGTACCATCTTTCCTCATTTTTAAGACTCATCATCTTGATATATCCACATCCTACTGGGTGGTGCTGTTCATACTGGGACTTCAGCTTAGCACCTACTGCTTCAAACACCACAGCATTATCCACTAAGCCAATGAGTTATCACAACGACTTTGCCAATGATATTTCATTAATGAGAGGTGACTCTGCAATCATGTCATATTTTTTTCAATTTTTAATTATACAAATATAAATAAGATGTGATAAACCTAGTGAGTTTTACCAAGTGGTTGATAACTAAGTTAAGAGAGAAACATATTGGGCATCTAGTATGAGCACAAAACATTTATCGCTCACTCTAAGGACGACATTCGCTTGTTTTTCTCCAAGCCTCGATACGTGATAATTCGTGTTCCAAAAAGGAATCGAGAGTGTTACGTGGCATGAAGCAGAAATGACAAAATATCATACCCCTAAATCCCTTATTAATTATACTGAACAAATCTTGAAACAGCTAGTCCCCTTTATAAACTTCAATTAAGCAATAAGAAGATGTATTTCATTTGAAACCTGTGATGTATTGGTGTATTACATCTCTTGCAATCTGACCACACATTTGTCATGCATAGTTATATGAATTATAACAATGGATAGATGGACCTTAAAAAATACTCGATATTGCAGTCAACTTATTAGTTTAGTGACCAAATGAATGATGAAAAGAGAGTATATTACATTGATCACCCTTGATATTAAAGCTGAGCTACGAAGTGAGATTTAGTTTAACAATAAATTATTTTTGAATGCTTAAAACAGGTTTAAACTTCCTTATACCAAGGTCTTCAATGAACCTACGTATGCATCTGCAGTCGGTCTTGTGAATAGGTTAGAAATATTCACGTTAATAAACTTTGTAGTTCATCTCAATTAAGTGTTTAGCTATAGATGAGATTAAACATCTGCTGCTGGGTTAATGGGATTATTCATTTGATTTGTTGTTGTAGCCATTTCGGAACATGCTCTGAGGCCTTTACTTGTATAGATTAATGGGTCCTTCTTCTGTATTTGAGACCATACATGCATTTAAACTGAAAAACGCAAATGAATTTGACCCTATCTTTCAAATGCTGCGAGGGTTTACAGAAGTGCATAAGTTTCGTTCCCTCATTAATGTTGACTTGTGCTGCATAATATGTTCTCCAGATGGCTATCCTGTCTTTGTTTGGTTGTCAGACTTCATGAATTTCCTACATATAGCAACATGAAGTAGAGATCTTTCTTCGAAACTGATTGAACCATCGATCTTCTTTGTGCTATATTTCTATTACGATTCGTGGATTTCAGAGAATAACTGTTGTGTAACGATACTTTCTTAAGCTTTTGTATTTCTTCCTCTAAAGTGCATGCATATTCTATAATCCGGCTGAACAGAGACTTGAATGGTCCCATTTATGCTGAGGTGGATAGCAACTATAGTAATTTATATTGTTTAGATTAGCGAACACTGTCTCTAAATTACTCAAAGACCATTTTGTAGTTAATAAGTCAACTTGAAGTGAGGTAGTTAGATAACTCTAAGTTAGACCTAATGATGCCTTAGTTGTCTCTAACTTATGTATGATAAATAAACCTGAGTAATTCCTAGAGGCTCATATTATTTATGAGTGTTTTGACTTTGAGAAACCAACTAATGACTTTCTAGTCAACTTATGTGTAACCAGTTATGATGATTTTTCAAAACCATGAGTCAGCCTAATAAAAGAATTCAGATTTACGCAGAAACAAATAAGGATGACAAAATAATCTATATGTTAAAATACCTTTCAGCTACTGCATTCCTCGTCATGAGGATTTTCCAGAACTAGGCATACAATGAATGCATTAGATTGCGCTCAGCAAAATACGAAACATCTACTGCAACCAAAGGCAAATTCAATGTATAATCGAGTGCCTTATCCAAACAGTACTAGTGCTCTACTGTTCAAAGTTCCAGTTTAGAATCAAAGTCAACAAGCTTTGCATCCACACAATTACTGAAAATAAGACTAATCACTACAAACAGGTGCATTTTTTACCAGTCTCCTCAATTTATTAAGGCTTTTTCTTGTGAAGAATGTAAGGTCACTGCATAGAGAATCAACAACCAGAACTCTCAAGTGATCAAAAGTTTAGATAGCATGTCATGCTGATAAAAAATATACTATTTCTGAAGGTAGGTAACTACAAAAAAGTTAAACCAAAAGCAAGGGCATCTTCTGAAGGAAAAGGCTGATGGTAAGAGTAATTTTCTAAAAAGGTAAGAGGAAAGTCTAAATAAATTTCTTTCTACCCTTTCATCAAAAAGACTTTAAGGGATTGCACGTTTGAGAAACTTTGGTCAATAAATACTCAGAATAAAAATTAGATATACACTTTGATAACCACAAAACGATGTTAGACAGTCAAATTCACCACTTTAGGAAAAGATAAATTGCGAGAAATCGGATCCGTATTTGCCCTTAGTTTTTGCAGTCGAAGTGCAACTAGCTGCGTTCTTTTTCAAAAACTAACAGTATATTTACAAATTTGGCTACTTGACTGACAAAGGTTTCATCTGTTTGATTTGTTTCTGAAGAAATGACTACTTTTTTCGTGGCTTCCTTCCAGATAACTAACATAAAGAAAATCCGATAGGGTTGAACAGTTTTTTCTACTTCATTGGGATTTTACAAATATATTTTATTTATCTAAAAAAATACCATTTTCAATCTAGGAGCTCTGGATTATTGTCTGAATGATCACGTGATTGCCGTTAGTTTAACGGTCCAAGAATCACTCACTCGCTGTCATGCATAAACGCCCCTAAGAAATATAGTATGAGGGCGAAACAGCTATCCAGTGTTCATAGGTTTCCAGTAGCTCTCCACTGATGTCATTCTGTAGTGAAATTATGTGAAAAAATCTGCTGTTCACCTTTGACATAGAGGGAATATTAAGAAGAATAAATAATTCTCATCTTTCTGAAGCAGTTTGATAGATGGTTAATTGCCATTGGGTGAGAAACTTCAAAAAATGGGAACTGTATCACAAATCTCTTTTTTTCTAAATGTCTAAAGGATTTTTCGAAATGTTGGGGACAGACGAATTATACAAAACATGGACATCGATGAAGTTTCTGTCGTCTGTAGGCATTAAAACTTTTGTCTTTCATTACCAAACATAACCACTAAACGGTTCCAACAGCTATGCGTAGTCTTAATGGTAGTCCTATTTCAATGTATAAATCATAGATTGTCTTAAGGGACAACTGAACTAGAAGGGTTGAAGACCAGTTGACTGATGACACAGCTAACTGTATTGACAAAAAACCCAAAGATAACGTAAGTTTCGTCGACTGTATCAATATATATATATATATATATATATATATATATATATATATATATATATATATATATATATATATATATATATATATACCTCAGTAGTGAATTCAAACTAGTTCCAAACCTAGATTCGGTAATGTCATCGCTGCCAATGGCAACATAAAACTGAATTTATTTTATATCCAAAGATAAACTGCTGCCTACATAACAAAAATTGCTGATACAAAACTGTAGGGACAGATTGATAGATAATCTGAAAGAGAAGGTTGGATAACTTCTGTTTATTTGTCAACTTATATCTTGCTCAAGAAGAAGGATAGTGATAACACAAGTGCTCAACATACATACGTGAATCTGATCTAAGGAAACTGAGCACACGATGAAGACTAAACAATATGAAAGGGAGTCAAAAGCAGTAAAGTGATTAGGCCGGCGTTACATATCAACTGACCTGTGATACTGAGATAGACAGTTGTAAATAAAGAAGCTCAAGTTGCCGATGGTTGGAAATCACTACCATTGAAAAAGACCAAATGATTTGGCAGACATTTGTTATGCTGAGGACTTACTTTGTAAGCCAGCATATTCCCATACTAAAAGTTCGATAGAGTTACTGAGATGTGACAAGTGTTATACTCATATAATCTCAGTGCAAACTTTTACAAGATTAGAGTTCGACATATTAATTCATTTAAATTTCCCATGAACTGATTTTAGATCTTTGTCCTTCGAAAATTAAAAAAGTAATGTATTTACACGTTTACCTAAGTGACATGCTATTTCTAATTGAATCTAATATCTTAGACGTTTAAACTAGATATCTTAAATAACGCAGTTGATCAATATCCTTTGGAATTCATCTTCCGCAACTTGTACATCTGTTGTCGTTTTACACCGGAACCAAAAGTTTATCCAATCTTTTTTCCAGGAGCTAATAACCGATTATCTGTTTCTCATTTCGGCATACTTTTTTCTCTCATTGCGTTGTGACGGAGTGTGACAACATTATTGAGTAAAAACCGCTGTAACTTGTCAGAAATAGAGACTTTTAAGCGCAAATAAACACCAATATGAAAACGAAGTACAGATCGGAAATAATGAATTTTAGAGCAACAGACAATCTGTTAAAAATCATCGGTTAACGTTTAAATTTTCAAGATGTAGCGTTTTAAATAACTGCCAAAAGTTACAGCGGTTTTTACTCAATAATGTTGTCACACTCCGTCACAATGCAATGAGAGAAATCGGCAATTAATTTACTGTAACGACAAATAACAGACAGTAAACTACGAAGTGACTCACGTCTCTTGACTTGACTTTTATGTTTCTCTTCCAACTTACGCAGATACTCTGGCGACTTCAGATTGGTTGACAGATGAGCAGAATCACTCAAAGAATGTTGCTTTTTACATTTTCGGTTGGCAATAGTTTGTTCAGTGAACTGAGCGATGTTTTCTTCTAGTACATCAGTCTTTTCTGTTCCTTTTGGAAGATCATCTGACTGAATATCTTCAGTTGATGCTTCACTATCCTGCAAATTTGTGTTTGAATCTTCTAGTACAGGAGAGCATTTCCTTTTTTGGTGGGCGATTTTTTTCAGTAGACTCATCACCTGAATTATCAACATTAGTGATGTTTTTAGGAGTAGCTGCCACTTCTTCAGAATTATTGTTTGCATTTACTGACATAGAAAGATTCGCACTTAATTGAACACAGGGATTCGCGATAAAATTAAAGTTATTGCCGCTGACTTTAGTGGCTTTGGTGGTGGTAGTGGTAGTGCTGTTGGGGACAGTATCATTTGAGGCAAACGCTGATTTTCCTATATTTTTTAAGGCGATATCGATGTTGGATTCATCGTTTTCTGTTGACTGACGACACCATCTGTTCACATCAGCATATGAATAAAGTTTTAAAAGCACTATGGTGTATACTCCAAGTACAGGTGCACTAAACACTGGAATTATGGTAAAATAAGAAAAAACTAATGTTACTTACTGGAAAATATTTTCTTTAAGGTTCTTTCAAAAGCACTGACTTCACTAATAAAATTTACTCATTAGTTTTCAACATACGGTGAAAAGGGTCATCTACATTTCATCTAATACTTTATATCAAAAAGTGACAAGTAAACAGTCAGTAGTATAAAATTGAATGAGATGCATTCACAGTGAGTATTAACTACAATGAAGTATAGGTTCAGAATATCTTTTCAGTTTTCAGTTCGGTAACTCACTTAGCCACTAAAACACTACGTCATAAATGTCAAACTAAGGGTTAGATGAATACATAGGACTGAAATATACCACTAATTGTTATTTGACAAAGTCAAATTGGTTGGTAATGATTTTCAGAAAAGTGAGTTTAGATAAAATTGAAAAATATGAAAGTGTCTCTATCTTTACCTAGTTTAAAACAAATAAGTACAATGTTAAATTCCTGTTCTATAAGATTTCGACAGTACATCATTTGCATATAGTTATCTTGTTAGGAGACGGAAGTGTCATTTATCTGGGCCTCAACTATGAATATACAATGCCCAGAAATATTGGTGTCCAGGGAGCACTGATACTTACACCCATATTAAAGGTTGCTGAGTGGAATGCAGATATAGATAAATAAGTAGCAATACTGATTACACGAGAACCACTCGAACCCTGCCATAAAAATTCTATTTACTCTCATATCTCATGTTCCACTGAGCTGCAAAGATTTAAAAAAACACAACAAAAACTAGTCGGTGATCATGAAAATGATCTTTATTCGATGAAAAATAATCCATAAATACTAATTGTGCGGACGTAAAATTAGGAAAGAAGAGGACTAATTAATTTTGACTGATGTTTTGTAAAGCTTGGCTGCATGTCAAAGCAATGCAGAATTTATAGTAGCATATAGCAGAAATTGAAGCTCATAAACTTATATTTCCGTGGCTACTGATTCAACAGACTGATTCGTATTTCAGTTGCTTCCTTTGACTAATTCAAACCTCTACTGTACACATTCAAATTAAATGTGTCTATCGACACATATGAATATTTAACTTACAAGGATTGAAGTCTATTGACAATATCATGATTGTTGGGAAGGCAAGCAGACAAAATAAATTCCACCATATAAGTATAGTTGCAAATTTACCACCAACTAAGCCACGAACAATTGCACGTTCAAGTAACCAAGCGAACAGAATAAAAACATTGGTACCTAGAATGTAAAATTTATGATTATCTCATCTGTAATAAAGCTGTTAAACTGTGAAAAAAAGTATAACATTGTAATTTTCAATTACTGATTGTTAGTGTGATTTACAATAAGAACCAGTGTTGAAGTTACTGAATAATGCTGATCATACTACGGTTTCAGAATTATGGTCCAACGCAATTGAAGCTATTTCATGCATTAAAAGTTACTCTTTTAAGACAACAAAAAATTTAAGCGAAGTTAGTTCAACATTACTAAGGCTATATTAACTAAATTGTCCATCTGATCCAGCAAATGTATGCGGTATGCAACAAACACGGTGAGGTTTTATTACTTCATACTTACTTATGGCAGAAAGATGTTTTGAATACGAAATCATCAGAGCATACAGTAATTTAGATATGTCATCTACTACTCATTACTCCATCATCTACTGATCCTTTACGTCACAAGGACCGTAGCATTTATCTATACTTTTCAAACTTATATTACACTGTTGAGTACAGTTTTTAAGGTAAATAGGGTTCAAAGGTCATTTATGTTTACAAATGAACCACGAAATCATTATCATGAAAAATATTTCATCATATCAGATTTGTTTATTTGATATATAGCACACAGTGACACAGTGATATTACAATGATAATAATACTGTATCACTGTGTGATGCATACAGAATAAACAAATCTGATGTGGAATTACATTCTACCACAGTGCATAAATTCTAAACTTATATAAATATTTCATCAGTTCCACTGACAAAACAGAAGTTCAGCTGGATAAATTTAGACACTTAAGTGGATGGTATAGTTTATCACTCAATTATATAAAGTGTAAAAGCATTTCTCTGAGAATGCTAATGAGGTTATTCAATTAAATGCATGTAATAACGTCGACTTATTATCGATCTAAGCACCAAACACATTGCTTTTCCCAAGTTAATTGATGATGACCTCAAAATCTGTTAACCCCACAGTTGACTTCATTCTCGTTCCATGAAAAAGGTTGACTTCTACGCATAATTAGGGTTAAACAACATGAACCGACAAAACTTGATTTTCAGATAGAAAACATTTATTGAAAAGTCGTTGCTGAATACATCAATACACAACTGATAAAAGTCAAAGTGTAATCAGTGTTTTTAATCATAAGTTAAATAAAAGTATACAGATATAAATATGCACATGACAACAGTACGACTATGACAAAGCTGTTTGTTTCGTTTAAACGGTCATTGATAAGAGAAGTAGGCAGTTGTATATTTGCTGTTTTCTTGGAGAAGTGAGAAACCAGTGAAAATGATTTTTATCGCATACTGATATCGCTTAAATTAGACAGCGTAATTACTGAAGTTGTCTAATTTGATTCTATCACACATTTGCACAAAGTGCTATATGGTGCTTTTTAAATACTAACAAAAAATTCACAAACGCATACAGTTTCATCCCACTGAAGTGTCTTTTTATATCATATCGTTTTATCAGTACGGCATGGATTCAATCATGACAAGTATAATTAACCCCATGGTACTTGATGGAGATGGGATAAACTTATACGACTATCTAGAGGGCATTGTTAAAGTGACAGCATACTGTAACCCAAATAGTTGGCATATGTGATGGCGATTCTGTGTTTTCTGGGCTTCAGAGAACATCGAACCACCGTCATCCTCGTCATGAGCTACAAATATTTTCCTAAATGCATATATATATATATATATATATATATATATATATATATGGCTAATAAACTTCAAACTTTTGAGTGGGGTAAACTTGATGGGCTATTTACAGTTTTATCAATTAATGATGAACATACCTGTAAGTGTTAGCAACAGTGGGTTTCGTCTGAGACAACCTAAATATGTGCAAAATATTTCCGAAAACTTTAGAACAAAAATCTAGAAAATAACCTTAATTGTAAGGTGTCAGTTATAAAAACGTGTCTGTTTTATACAGTACAGATTTCATTCCAGTGATAATACATTACATTAACTTGTGTCATATGAATTATAAGTTTCGTAAGGTTCACTTAGAATTTGTTCTGGGGACTAAATAATGTTTATATATTTGTAGAATTGTTTGATGTCTTTATTAAGACCACTATCTGACGTTTTACCGCTCCATTTTCGTTGACAAGATTTGACCATGAATAGCAATGAACTAGAAGATTCAACAACAGATATTTTAAGAACAGGAGATCAAATTAAAGGTTTTTATAGTTACTATGATAAGCTTGACTTAATGTAAATAAATATGGAGAGCCTAACTGAGAAAAAAGTGTTTCTGTAAAGTACGAAGACAGATATATTGCCATTGGGTTTCAGGTTATTTCTTATTAACCTAATATTTCTTCTTAATTTAGTACATAAATGAAGTAAGCTGTTTTCTACTCAGCAACTATTCAAAGAAAACCGAAACCCTGTTATGTTCATTCAAAGATATTCCTAAAAATGCAGAAGTTGACCCTTGCAACCATATAGTGAGCTGTATACAAATGATTAGGCGAAGCCTGTAGTTAAACGGATTATTTTGGATCACAGTGTTGCAAACATGTAATTAATTAATCTGCTGTTTTCACTATACTGCTTAAACTTTGGGAATATATACTGGAGTTTCATTACCCTTCTAAAAAGTCAAATTTAGTAGTGCTTCTAACAATCAGTTTCATCACTTTAAATGATAAATAATGGATCGGTATAGCAATCAGCAAATTTTGGAATCTATGATGAATTATTAAGAATACAAGGCAAGCGGATGAAAGGAAAGGTTTGACACCATCTATATCAGTTTAAAGGTTTCGCTTGTTAGATCAAAATCATCTAAATACTAAGGGATCATTTCCTCATATTCATCGGATTTAATATGACATTCAATTTGACTAACCGGATTCAGAATATCTAATTTTTTTGAATCGTGGCTGAAATGAATAGACGTATGAGAAAGAGACAGCACAAAACATTTTTGAGTTGTCTACAATCTGCCTATTTCACATTAGTTGATGAGACTTTTAGATCATGGATAATAACGTGGCATCTTAGTTTGATACTCTCCGGCTATAATTGTGTTGACACTAAACTTTATTGGTTTATAAGCTTCTCAGCTATGTGGAGATTTGACATAAACTGTTCATTTTGCAGAGAAATTCCATACTCTTTATGTCATGCCTTTCAACTTCTTGATAAACCACAAATGAAATGAACTAAGGAGTTCTTGGTTTGTAGTTGACAAATAACTTTGTTTAAAAGTAAGAAAAAGTCTCCGTAGTTCTGAATGGAATTTCGCAAAACCACTTAAGTTGTTCATTCACTTGAATCCCTTGATAAATTTGGAAAAAGCAAGAAGAACTAGGTTTGTAGAATGAAATATCATTTTATATTACGAAAATTCCTCAGCCTCAATCAGTCTAAAACCACAGTGGCTATCGACATATAAGATAATTTTTAATCAGGATGTTAATAATCTTAAATTGCATATCAAAATCACTGCTACTGCATATTATATGTAACGGAAGATTCAGGAAATGTACACAGGGTTAAGAAACATGAAAAAAGGAATAGATAACACTAGCTAACAGTTTCAGTAACATCCATAAGATTGAGATCAACTCAATGAATTGAAATCACAAAGTGAGCAAAACAGTGTGACTGTGAAGGCCACCCTAACAAACACTGAAATAAGCAACTAGATTTCGTTATTTTATGAAAGTCTACCTTTTAAACAGAAAGAAAGAGACCTGATTAGCTATTGTTTCTAGGGTGGCCTTTAGACTAGTAAAATGAAGAATTTTGTAATTAACTTGACATGAGATCAAGTTGCAGTCCCCATGGAGATGAGAGATTGACTACATTCTCCTGTATGTAATGAATTGGTCGCAAGCCTTTTATAGCAATCACTTCTATGAAGCGTAGTGATTCAGACATTTTGTGTACACTTATTATTGCACTAGCACTGAAATTATCAGCTTACTGTCCCGTGTCTACGGACTGCCTGTTCATTGTATTGGTTAAAATCTTGCTTCATTTCGGGCATGAATTCTTTGCGATATGCTTAGTGAACCAAATGAAAACCTTACTCTCAATCTTTCCAATGTAACTTCTACTGCGAGTACATGTAAGTTCACTAATGCAGTTGAACGTAACATGAACAGGATATTCATCTAGTTTGGACTGGTTTAGTGAGCACGAGGTATCGTATATGCATACAATTTTATCTGCAGGAAGTCTTCTTTTTAGTGCTGCTTTGATTCTCACGACTATCCTTTCGTATATTGCATCCCCCTTGAATCCGTGTTTTCGACTTGTCCTTTTCCATAATTCATATCAAATCTCAGGATATCCATTCTCTTTAAGACAATTTCTAATGAGGCTTTGTTCTTCTTCTAACTTATCCTCCCTCTCACTTCAATTATCTACTCTGTATTTCTTCCACTCTACTTGTTTAGACTTTTTATTATTACATGAATAACAGTGTTACTGTCATTACTTTCCATTGCTAACAGTGTGAAGGAATTTTAGTTAACAAAGATATACAGAACCTGTACACCACGAACTCCACTAGAATTTTTAAGAAATAGTTAAGTATCTATCAGAAGCTGGAAAACTTATGTTTCAGTTTTAACGCAACTGATCACTTCCTAGAATTAGGTTGGTTGTATCACTCGAAAATGATTACTTAAGAAGTGTCTGTAGTCAGTAGGATGAGTAATTTACAAAAAGGTTAGTTTTAATATTAAGGATGAAGGTATTTTTAAAGTTAACTGTGTACATTAGGCTTAGTAAAAACACTTTGTGTCATCAACATACCAATAAAACTAGAAAAAAGTAGTGATTAAAAGTTTGGTATGAAAAAAGGATTACACCATCAGATATTTTGGATTGATGAAGTATGTTAAACAGCTAATGAAATCAGCTCATTGTTGTATAGACTAGGAAAATTTATTGAATTCAAATAAATCTGACAACATCAGGAGCTTAAAAGATCAGATAAAACAACTTAGAGACTCGACAAAGGTTTGTAGACCAAGTTTTAAATTCAATTTCGAGGTTTTTAGAGACTTATTTATTGATTTTAGATTAATTCACCACATACTGACATCACTAGGAGAAACATTGGAAACCTGGGAACACTAGACAGTAATTTTGTCTTGGTATGGGACTCCTCAGAAGTGTGCGACCATGACCCTCGCCAGAGACTGAACCCAGGATCTTCAGGTTTCGCGGCTAGGTAGGAAGCTAATTTCCCTTGGCGGGGTCATGAATGCGAACTGCTGATGAGTCCCATACTAGTACGAAACAGCTGCTTAGTGCTAAAAGATATCCAATGTTTTCCAGTTGATGCCAGTTCTTGATGAATCAACCTGAAATTATAAATTATAAGCTATTTTTGCACCATGGCTAGTGATACCATCTAGTTATACAAGTCTGAGTAGGCTAAACGTGATATGAACTGGTAACTTCTTATTTGTTTGTTCGGTGCCTTAACTAGTGATTCACATTTTCATCAAAATAATAGGATGTTCCCTATTGAACTCGATAGATTGCTTGTAAGTGCAATAAATTCACTAAAAACTATGTAACTTTGGAAGACTTCATTTTTGGCTACAAAGCATGGATGGTTGATGTGAGTTCATGACTATGTATGTATGCACGTACACTGAAAAGGTAATGTCACATATTGATTATCTGTAGAAACAAACTATCAACTATTTCACAATATAATTTAAAGTGTTTCTGGTGATATCGCAAACAGGCATATCAATCCCTAATTCAAGTTACTTTTTGGACATGATTAATTATTTTATTAACCGTGTTGCAATAAGTAGTTTATATTTTCAAAAATTAACAACACGTATACCATATTTTTGTGTATTTTTCAGTTCATCTGTATATTGTCTCTAAGCGTACTTCAAGTCAGCTACAATTATCCTTTATACTACTTTAAAAAAAATTTAATGCACGTGTCAATCACACAATTCACATTCGTATTGAAATCACATTTGCACTTTTCTGAGTCCAGTGACTAATCCATGTGTTTAGGCAATGAATACGTCACTGCTTAAATTTATCATTAGACAACTTGATGAAATGTATGCAACGCATCCTATTGTTGGCTAACATTAGATTGGTACTAGCTTATTACTTTGAATATATATTGTATGAAACCTAATTCCTAATAATCATAGATCAAGCCAGCAGTGATCCAAACTGTAATTATAGGTTGTGTGTATTAATTGCTGAGAAAGTGATAATTTCATCATTTAGCAGTTTACTAGCTATTATTTTACTCGAATAAGTATATTCGAGCTGTTATGGGAATACAAGCATTCCAAAGATATGTTTTGTTCGTATCCACATAAAATTAGACCACCCAAAAGTAAATGGAATTGAGTTCTCAAGCAAAGTTTTAGTTGCAGGTGAAATCTGCTTAACTACAGATGACAGTTTTAAAAAGTCCCAATTCATGATAAGTAAAACTTTGACCTCCACAAAAGATAATAGCTCACTGATAACATCTCTGACTGTAGCCGTGTGTGACACGGGGGAATATCAGTTCCGTTGAGGTTGCAGATACGCCTTACCGATGAGTGCAAAAAAGCACGAAACCCAGTTTCACGGTTTCCTGCTGACTGCCTCCGTCTAACCAATACTAAAAGTCTTCTATTCAGAGAAAAAACAGTTTGTAAGTGGTGTTTTATTAAAGAAATAACATACATCATTTGTACTACCTATCTGCACAGATAATCAGTCTTAGGAAAAAAGGTAAATACAGATGAATTTATATTTTGCCGCAGTGATTTATAAACCACTTGTTAACTGAATTCCTAAAAGCAGAATGATGTGAAATAACCATGAGAAATGAAACATTAGAAAAGTTTATGTACTTTGAATTTCCGAATTCAGTGATCAGCTCAAAAACTTGACCACAAACAGATAAAGGACTGCGGGCTTACACTACTGAAAAACTATGAGTTCAAACTAGCCCAAACTAACAAAGCAAAGTACTAAATGCTATCGCATTTATTCTGTAGTCACAAACTAATCCATCTTATATAATATGCATAAATTATTTCAGAAAGTCATGGTTCTGTACAGAAATCAAGTTGCTTAGATGAACAGATTTGTGTGCAGGCTGACTGCAATGCTGATATATAAAAGAATTGGCTTTGGTTCTGTAAGTAAACCAAAGATCAATATTGGGAATCGTGTATGTAACTAATGTTTCCCACATCAAACTTTATGAATACGATATCTTCTGTCTATCCACTACAGTCTACCATTGTCTGAGAGTGTAAATAACTATTATGGAGGATATAAGTGATATCTCAACAACAGATTCTAAAAAATTTTCTCAAATCTTCAAAAGATAAGAAAAATCAATCAGAAAGGAAAGAGAATACACTTTCATTTACAGATTAATTGCATGATTGAAGAATGTTAGTATAATGGTGCAACAATGAAAAGACTTACAGCCAAGCAATCCGATTACAGCACACTTCTGCTGAGCCTGTAGAAGGAATCGAATCCAAGAAAAAGGATCCATGATAATTCCATATCTAAAAAAGACATTGATACAGGGAGTTAAATAAACATTTATGCCAACTATATAATACTTTAGTAGCCTGATTAATCTTTGGAAAACCATAAATATAATGCCGAAAATCTGCTGATTTGAACAGTAGTCTTAATTGATTGGTGTGCCGTAGGCAAAATCGCTACATAGCCATGGTTTTGCATTTAAATGATAGAATCTTTCTAAAACAAGCTTCAAATAGTAGCATTGCAGATAGATTTCGTACATGTTTCCCGAGTTCACGTGACAAACAGATACAATTCATGACAGTCAGTTTCTTAGAGGATAACCCCCATGTTGCACCTGAGTGGAGGGAATTTAATGATCCCATTGTTAAGTCACTGATTTTGACTTTTTTCCTGATTGATATATAAACTGACTTCATTTCCATAGATCTGTATTAAAACAGAGTCAGACAAATGAACGATCGGTGTTTTCGACGTAAGATATGGCCTACTACAAATTCATCTTTAACCTTGGTAAAAGTTGGTTTGTCTGATTGACAACTGACAAATTCAAAGTAGACCTTGCAAATAGGTGCATCGATGTCACTAATATTTTATCAATTCATTTTTGTTCACTGTCTAAAAAGACAGTTGTTCAGTGTTTAACTCGTCTGTTATAGGTTCACTAAAATAACTACATAATCATCACTATATTTTCCTTGACAATAAATCTTTTCTTTCTAGTGATGTCATCAGTGTTTTTCATTAGTACGGAGGCAGTATTTCAGTATTCAGAATCCATTTTCGTGCAGAAGTTCTGTGGGTGTATAACGACAGTTGGTAATTCGCAATGGAACAGCTGGGAGAAATCCTCAATGTAGAATAATTCCATCACTTCAATTTGTCCGTCGCCTGTTGAGCTAAATTCTACTCTACTCAATTTTCCCTGTAGATTTGTTGATTTAACAGTCCGGCAATTAAGTATCCTTTGAGCCAAGATTATGACACTGATTTTTCATATACGTTTACATTAGCGTCAAATATCGTGGTATTTAATCACTAAACAATCCATGACAATGTAGATCAATCCGGTGCAGGATAATGAACTAAGCCATGAATCACGTCAATAATGTTAAGGCTTATGATGACATGTTTAAGTACGCTAAATTAGTTGGTGTTAAACAATGCACATCCTAGTGTAAATAAAGATGAAGACCATTTTGATTAGTGTGATTGAGTAAAGTGTTCTGCACTAAAAGTAAACAGTCAATATATTTTGTAAAATAATTGAGGGTCCTGGTTGTAAAAATTGAAGGATATTCAATATACTATACGGTAGCATTCTGAAGTACCAAATGGAGAACAAAATGCCTTACTTTGTCCTCAAATGTCTATTCCTACGGTAACGGTTTTTGCACAGATTACTTTCACGCTTATTTTCAACTAAAATTTGTCTACTACTATTTATAGATATGCTTGTAATTCTCCATTGTTTTACTGAATCGAATTGTTCAACCCCTTTTAGCATATGGTTGCTATGCGGATGCCTCGATATCGTCTGATTGTTAAGTATGGTAATTTACACGGTTGTAACTAGCAGAGGAATCCAGGTGTGCCTTTCGTCCTGTTTGTGACTCTTCAGTTGGATGTACCTGCACCCCAGTGATTGGTGTTGTTCCCACCGAGACTCGAACCTCATACCCATAGCTTCAAATGCCAAGTCGTTATCCATTAGGCCACGGATGCACGATAGCCACCTCTTGTACAACGGGTATCAGTTATTACTATTTATGGATATATTTATAATTCTGGATCGAATTGTTTGTGTCTCCGTGGCCTATTAAATAACGACTTGGCATTTGTATTGATGGGCGTGAGACTGGAGTCTCTGTGGAAACGACATCATTCACTGGGGTGCAGGTACACCTAGCTGACGCGTCCCAAATAGGACGAAACGCGCATCCTGGATCCCTCTGCTGGCTACAACCAAGTACATCAAAATTTGTCTGATTTAGTAAACAAGGCATTTTGAACAAAATGATCAACATTTTTACAAATACGACATCAATAAGACATCAGTAAAATACAAGATACTAACTCTGCAGCCACGGTAAAGATTAGAGATCAATCAACAATTACATCAATAGAAACAATAGTAGTGTAAGAATTGCAAAAAACAAAACACGTGAACAGTCACTCTTTTCAGCGATATTATTTTTATGCTGTACTATTCCATATAATTGTTTTATTTATGTGGTAGCTGAAAGAGAATGTTTTGTAAAATATTTTTGAACAAAATTCATTTCTGATTATAAACCAGATCGGAAAAAGAATTACATAGTGTTTGAAATAGTAGTGAGAAGAAAACCCATCAAGACTGAAGCAATACATGGTTACTAAGTTAAATGATGGTGTATGGTTAAAGGTAAAAGTAACAGCTATAGTAGTAAAGATACTATTGTATATAATTGCCAGATTAATGAAAACAACACTCAGTGTGAACTTGAATTGATTATCTCAGGTGAAAAGAGAATGAAGAACTAGTACATAAACCTAGTGAGTAAGAGGACGAGTCAATATGGACTTGTTATAAAAATAGTCAATAAGTTTTATCAATACCCTTTGAAGTATGTAGAATTTAAGTTAGCGACTGTCTATGAACAAGGAAAGAGAGTTCAGGTAACTAACACTAACATAACTTCAAGACCCCAACGACCCACTTATATATATATATATATATATATATATATATATATATATATGTATATATATATATATGTATATATATATATATATGAAATAAAACAAACACCTCAGAGAAGAAACTTTCTGTTTTTCAAAACTTTCATTTTCAAAAGCTGGACATTCATGTTTACGTGTAAGTTGAGGTAGACAATAACAAATTTGGTCTACGGCAGGATTCAAACCACCGATCTCCGGGTTACCGGCCCGGTACAGTCAGGTGAGAATAAGGCATCATGAAGTCACATGGCAGTTTCGTAAAACCCTTGGTCATCGAAGTGAAATGAAAATCTGGTTAGCTGCCAGCTATCGTGGCTCAGTTGATATAGCACTGGGCCGTTAAGACGTAGGTCTAAAGTCCGATTCCTGCCTGGAGTCGTAAAAGGCAGTGATACAAGTGAGGACAACATTTCATGGATCATCTGACCAGTTGGAAAAATAAAGGAGACTATAGGTCAAAAAAAGCAGGAAAAGAAAATAATACTCGATAGCAAGAAAAAATGGGAGGCAAGACTTCTATAAGAAATATACAGATGATACTTTTATCATCTATGATCGCACCTGTGCTTTGAAAAGCATATTGGAAAACAGTTAATGATTGCCCACTAATCAATTGAGTTCACCCTTAAAGACGAAATCCCATTTCCTGATGTGCTAATATCAAGGAAACCTAATGAATCTATGAGTAGATCAGTCTACAGAAAATAATTGTGAATGAGCAACTAACAAATTACCATAGTTTCGTTCTTATAGAAATGAAGAGAAACTTGATTCATTCTCTCTCATCATGCATCCAAAAGATCTGTACGGTAGATACTTTAGAAGATGAGTGAAAATTATTGGGACGAGTCTTCATGGAAAACGGGTATCCACCACTTTCTATAGACAAAAAGGACATTCGTACGATCTCTTTCACTACCCCTGGACCTAGTTTACCATTTTGACCATATGATTCTAAGAACTAGTTTATTTCTGTTTTATTCGATTTCTGTCCATTGTATTTTGTGGTAAAAATTCCACTTCCCTTGATCGCTATCATATCACACTTTGTCCGACCGATATTTACATTTATTGTATCATATAATCTTTACTCAACTACTCCTCAATCAAATCACGCCATATTCATTCAGACAGTCATCTACTTTGCGCTTGTGATCTTTAGTTTTCAATGTTTTTCCAATTCTTTAGATGTTTCGTGAAATATTATCCTCACTCATATTAATGCACTTTACAATTCTGATGATTGTAAAAATGAAACATACAAACATATTTGCCATTTTAAGGTACTATTCATCACGGAATAACATGAGTTGGAGAGCCACTGAAAACCTTGGAACACTAAACAGTGTTTCTGTCCCAGTATATGACTTCTCAGTAGTACGCCCTCACGACCCTGCCTTGCCAAAGATCGAACCTAGGACCTGCAGGTTTTACGGCGGACCCCATAATCATTCAGCCACTGAGTCGGAGGCCAATAGTTCCCAGTTTCCTACATCCGCCATTTCATGTTATAATACGACTATCATTGAGGATCTTCAGTTGGTATCCGCCTGCAGTTTATTCGTTCAGGGCCTGACCTTCTTAGTGCTTGGTACACCCAAAGTCAACAAGTAGCACTTCGCTTGCGACATTTAAAAATAATATTTCTATGTCATGAAAATAACAGTTTTTTAGTAGTACCAGAATAATGGCCCGTGAGAGGTGAAAGAAGCCACGATATTTTCTTTGAGAATTAACTCAATTTGTGTTTTGACAGGTTCCATTTCGGAAACATCAGGTTATTTGCTAGACCTAAATGAATTTCTACTACTTGATTCTAAGTTCAGTAGTTGGTAAGAGAATCTTAGTCAGTGATTATAAATAGGTAAAGATGAGATATGATGAGACCAATCTACTTGCAGCTGTCGACGAAGAAAACCTTAATATTGTTTAACAGTTCAGTATTATCGATTAGTATTTCATCTGACTCCTTCATATCCCTCAGGAGAACGTGTCATTGTCTTCAAAGAGCACAAGAATTTTAATAATACTGATGTAAATAGATGTCATCATACAACTGGTAAGATGTGAATGTATACACTGACGTTATATTTCCAGAGTATTATAACTTGCTCATTTACTTCCTTTGAATTGTGTTGAAAAATCTACGGGACAGATTCTCAGGAATTATCTGCTCTCTTTTTGTTACTAAGATACTTCAACATTTAATAACTCTTGATATTTACTTATCATATTTCATGCAGTTGCTAAACTAGCCCATAATATTTAAATGAGAATGGATGAATATTTTGAGATA